AATAGCAGTTAGCTACCCCATGCATGGAGCATAGTGGCAAATTCTGGTGATGTCCAGCCAATGAGAGGAACTATAACACGGTAAGAACAGATGATTCAGTGCATTTGAAGGTGACTTTCCCCCCCATAAAGCTTTGCCAAGAATATTGGGCTTTCCCATCCTCCCTCTGCCTCCCACCCTTAATCTCTTGTGGAATCCATTCATGTCTTTGAAGCTATGGTTCTGGAAGCCAGTTTGAAAAAGGCCCATTTAGACTATCATGGTCAATACTGGTTACAATTGACCACAATTTTGCCTGCCATCCCTGGAGATGCCAGGGGTTAAACCCAGGACTTTCTACCCACAAAACACCCAGGTCTGCAATTTGGGAATACTCCAGATTCAGTAAAAAAGCAATGTACTGACTGTAACAGTTCCTGGAGAGGCCATGCTCCTTGTTTACACACCATTTCATCAATTGTGGATGGTTTTTTCCCCCCACAAAGGTGCCTTTTTAAAAGGCTTAGACAGCTTAAACAGTTCCAGAATGCTGGAGCCAAAGCAGGGCCTGTTAATCTAGTGTGCTAATTGTTTGCTAAATGCAGCAGCTTAATTGGCCCCCATTCGGTCCCTGAGCATAATTCAAAGTTGTAATTAAGATATCTAAAGACATGGCAAAGTGCAAAGCTATGCAGAGGCTGCTGAATTTGCTGTTTTAAAAACCTATCTAATGGCCTTTAGTTTTCCCACATGGACTGGTACCTGTATTAGAATTTAGTAAAGGGAAATACCCAAAGGTGCTTTTTCAAGAGGCAACTAGACTTCCTTGTTTTTCTTTGGACATTTCACTTCACATCCAAGAAGCTTCTTCAGCTCTGATTGCATGGAGGTGAATGGAAAGATTTATACTCCTTGCAGATAGCTGGTCATTTGCATTCTTTTAGCGAGTCATTAAGGCCACCTGGATTTTTTATCTGTGTCCTCAGGATCACTTGAGTAGTGCAAATGGGTGTGAAGCCTTCTTGGAACTGCTGAAAGGACTGTGTTGTAGATTGGAAATAAATGATGCCATATCCCTCCCCCTCTGTTGAGAGGGCTGTGCAATTTTGACATGGATCAACATGACATGCACATGGCTGTGCAATCTTTGACCCTCTTTCAAACTTGAGGTCCTTCCATTCCTCTCTATCCAGTCAGAGCTGATGAAGCTTCTTGGATGAGAAGGAAAATGTTTTCAAAGAAAAACAAGAAAGCCCAGTTGCCTCTTTAAAAAGCACCTTTGGGACAACTATGATCTAGATCAGTGTTTCTCAACCTTGGCAACTTGAAGATGTCTGGACTTCAACTCCCAGAATTCCCCAGCCAGCAAATGCTGGCTCGG